GACCGAAACTACCCCCGCCAGCACCGTGTCCTAAATCGGACGCCTGACTCACCGCAAGCTTCACCACCTGACCAGAACTACCCCCGCCAGCGCCATGTTTCAAATCGGACGCCTGACCCACCACTCGCTCCATCTTTATCAGCGCACCAGCCGCGCCGGGAGGGTGCGGCGCCTATCCGGCGCGGCCCGGCGAGCGCCCCGCCCCCTCCCCTTCCGTCCTACTCACAGCCACGGTAATCTTGCCCAGAATAGTCTCCGGTATTCGCGACCGGCCGTGCTCGTAGATGAACTTGTAGAACTTGTCCAGCGACGTGTCCATCAGCTCCATGCAGATCCAGCAGTCGCCCTGCCGCAGGGGAGGGCGGCCATCACCGGGCGTGGTCGGTCGGGGAGCCGCCGACCAGCGGCAGCCGGCCGGCCGGCACGGAGGCCCGTGTTAGAAGCAGGTTCGACCGGGCCAGGCCACCTGATCGACACACTGCAGTCGATCGAGGACGCGTTCGATTAAGATGACAGTTGGAGAAGAGCACGGCTATTCGGGGGCAACCTCAACCAACAGAGAACGGAGTCCGAAGCGTAGTCGATCAGGAGATCAACCAAGGGGTAATGGGGGGGGGGGGGGGGGGCTCCCCTGCGCAAGAGGCAGCCAAGCAGGCAAACATGCCATTCGGATAGAACACCTAAACATGGAATCAAAGTCAGCGAAGAGCAAAAAATCAGAGGTGCAATCAGTCCTCAGCACTTCGAGCGAACGATAACGAAAAATACAAGAAGCACATAATGGCGCTCAACGAACATGAAAGCCTTGACGGGCTGTTGACTGACAACACCAACTGACACCACACACTGCACAACAGTGGTTCCTCGTCCGCATGTCCCGTCTAAGTGTCAAACAGGGGAACGTGCGTTCTTAAGACCGCATTCTTTGCAGAACACCTGAACATGAACACGCTTACTTCATATCAGAGAACAGCAGATCAGGACAGCGCCTTCGTACCTCTTTGAAAATGGCTCCGTAGAACTGCACTATATAGGGGCAGTCATTGGACTTCATGACCACCTCCAGGTCCATCAGCAGCTTCTTCTGTCTGCTCGCCCTCCTCCACTGTAGAGCGAATCCTCTGTAGACACAGCGACAGCAGAACAGCGATGAGTGACAACCGGACGGACAGACAGCGAACGCGTGTGGATGTGTGCGTTTCGGGCAGAACTGGGAAGTAGCATATGTTGTGAAAAGAGTAGTGACTGGCACCCACCGATTTATAGCAATGTTCCTAAGTCCTGTTTCACGCGGGTCATGACACCTCACGATGTCGGTATGTACGGGCATCTGAACTTCCGTTCGGTCAGATAACGCGCCTCACGAACACGCAGGGCAAACTCAAGGCGCGTATCGAGAAGGCGCGGCTGAGTCGCATCAGCAAACGAGACAGCTGATCGTCCGACGACACCACAGCGCACACCTTAACCCTCGCCCTGATGAGGGGGGGGGGGTCGATGAGACCCCCATAAGGTTTTCTGAGGATGCCTCTCCGGCATGACGTGCAATCGCGCCCGTATTTTCGTTAGCCTACGGGGGGGGGGGGGAGGGGGCACCCATGGCACGCGTTTTGACACAAAGTGTCCCTGGCATTTCTGATTTCTGAGTAGCGACGGTTTTTTCGGACCTCTGCGAGGTGATCCCCGGCTGGTGCGGGTGGTGGGCGGCAACCGACTATTCCGCGGAACGCGGCAGACGGGTCGATACTGTTGCATTAACGGAGCCCTCTATTCTAAATGTACGCTCAAAACACATAAAACTGCATACCATTGACCTCAAAACTGACAAGGTACACGACTGGTTATGTTTAATGTTACGGAGCACGGTTTCCTACACACTAGCATGTAAAGCTGAAGTTAAAATTTTCAAGATTTTTTTTGACCAGGCTTGGTGGACGTCATACATTGATCACGCAACAGAACACTTCTACTGATCGCTACATCTCATCGATACTAATCCAATACTTTTTAAGCGAGGCTCTATATTCCTTACTACGGAAACGGCATGGGGTCGCGTCATACCCCAATCAGTTCGCGTTCTGAAGGACGGCACATCAGGGCGGAAGTTGGGCGCTGCGTTTCGTAGCGGTAAGATACGCCAGCATGACAGGTCGCACGAAGCACGTTGCCAGATCCCGGAGTTGGCTCGCTGCGTCCGATTAGGCCCGGGGGGGGGGGGGGGGGGGTTCGCAGCTCGCACTAACAGCACGCCTCGGCTGCTGACCAATCTACCCGACCGACTGCCAGCGCTGATTGTCTCCAAGGGCCGGGGAGGTGACCACTGAAGATGCGGGTACGACCGAACGTTTGACCAGACCGGCTCTCCGGACAGGGGAGGACAGAAGGCGTGCCGACGCACCCCACACACAAGTTCGGGGTTCGAAGACCGGCGGCCTTGCAGTGCCCCGGGCAGCAACGACTGTCCTCTTATGCTGGCGGTCCGCAGTCTCCTCCCCTCCCCCCTCCCCCACCCGAACAAGGCATCCAAATAAGTCTCTCTACAACAAACGCACCAATTTACAATTCCCATAGAGCCAGATTCTAGAGTAGCCAGGTAAACAGGCTAACCAGCGTGGCCCCAGACCTTCCGCCCCCCCCCCCCCACCCGCCCCCTCCCTCAACGCTACGCGCCGTTAATATTTGCAGGACCCACTTTAACAGCCATGGCGGTGCCGGACGCCCTGTGGAACATCTTGTTGACGGTGCCGAAGTTGCCGCAGCCGATCTCGCCCAAATTGTCCAGGTCCTCCGCCGTAAACTGGTATACCTGCCACCGAATCACGCACGTCAGCACCCGACCGCCATCTAGCGTACAAGCCGCCAAACAACGCGCGTCAACAAGGGGCCGTGCACTAACCAAGCCCACTAGCGACAACACACAGTTGCGTGGCGCCGGGTGTGACATATCCAGCACAGAACATGCCGGGGTAGACGGTGAGTAGTCGGGTATCCAAGCGCGGAACACAAGGGAGCAGAGGTACGATCACCTGATATGGTTGCCATCCACTGATTATTTCGTAACTCGTCTAATTTTACCGATTTGTCACTTTCCGTGATCCATTGACATCCTGTCACTGATCTCTAAATCACTGATCGTCCCAATTGTATCAACCGTCGCTATTCCTCTGCGCATTCGATGAACTAGCGTGTGCCACTGATTTGGAGATCACTGATCAAGGAGCCTCGGTCGGTGATCTTTGAGCCTCAGTGCTATCTAACCCGCGACCTCGGACAAACCTAACACAGCACCCCACCACACGGAACACGGGCCGCTCGGGTTCAGGTTCCGCACGACGGGCCACGCCGAGCCGAGGTATGACCTCAGCGTAAATGGATCGACATCATGACATCATGACATCATGCGGCTGATTGTGCGGATAGGCCGCACACGCCACGCCAGCCGCAACTATGTCGAGATTCGGGGCTTTAACTTGATATGGATGCATCGCCAATGTCGTGGGCAAACTGACCGGAGGCACGGTCCACAGCCGACGCGCGGCCCGTACCCTCCACCCATCACGTGGGTGGGCAGGCTAGCAACGACTGCGGGCTTCATCCAGCACGCTGATGGCTGCAATCTATACGCACGCCGTTGTAATTTATACACGCACGCGCCACCCCCCACTTGGCGAATGCCTACCTGGTTAGGCGCTATTTTCATCATGCCCGACTGCGCTATACTCTTCGGCACGAAATGCTTTTCACGCAGCCTGAAAGCGAAGACATCGTTCGTGTTTAGTCACGTACATATCACTTCAGCAGCAGCTTGCGTCTCAGAATGAGAGATTACGACCAAAACAATCAGCCTGAAAGCGAAGACATCGTTCGTGTTTAGTCACATGCATATCACTTCAGCAGCAGCTTGCGTCTCAGAATGAGAGATTACGACCGAAACGATCAGCTCTAAACAGCAAGTAAAGCAGTCAGAAACGGACCATACATCCTCGCATCATCTCCCGATTAACATCACCGAGTTCGAAATGGCGCGCTTATGTGGCGCGAAATAGCGCCCCGCTGCTCATTTGAGCAGTTCCACACGACACATAAAGGCCATAACCACGTGAATAGCCACTTGACCTTTTCATCAGCTTATCAAATGAGCCGACACTGCCGGAGCCAGAAGTCTCCAGCGCTCTGAGCGTCCACTTACACCGTGGTGGGGACCGGATGGGGCAGCATGGGCGTCTGCCTCGACAGCGAGGTGTTGAACGAGAGCTTCAGCCGGTTGCGCTTCTCTGTGCAGCTGCCTGGAAAGTCCAGTACAGACGCTGTGAAGGCGGCGTTCTCGCAGCGCAGCCGACAGAAAGCCGGAACATCCTAGGACGCCCGACTCCGCTATGGCCACATCTCACAGGTATGTGGGTTGGCTTCCACGGAAAAAACACGCTTCGGTAACCAATCCGATAGTCGATGGCAGCTGTTCATGAGGTTCAGCTGGTACGAGGCGGTCGCATCACAACGTTGCACGGTGCGTTAATTCCGTCAATGATATATGGCTGAAGAGCAGTGCTGACTTAGCGAGGTCAAGGCCAG